TCACATTGCTGCAATGCCGAGCACACAGTAGGTGTCTAATTTACTGCAATGCCACGCACATAGTAGGTGTCTATTTCATTTACTGCAATGCCATTCACACAGAAGGTGTCTATCATATTTTAGACACGGTTAGATGGAACACTGTCTTGGGAGTCCAGAGACCTCAGACAGACCACTCTGTAACTAACTGGCCAGATCATGGTGGCGTGGGGCCTCAGATCTCTCCTGTCTTGCACAAGAAGTTTGGCAGGATGAACACCAAAGTCCTTGCCAGATCTAAGATTCTGTGAAAGAGGCTGGCCGTTTGCTAATATTACTGGAAACCCTTTCTTTCTAGCCTTTTCACCTGAGCCCTATCACTAAGACTAGGAAAAGGAATGGGAGGTATTTGGGGGAAGTAAAGAGTCAGAGGAGGAGCTTTTGAGAATGTAGAGTTTAAGAAGAGCCATAAACTTTTAAATTTAAAGAAAGAACATCCAAAAAAATAAAATTCCCCACGCCTTCCCTCTTCAGTGCCTAGAGTTTGCTGAGGGTTCAGCTTCGATGATCAAAACCAGGTTGGCGATAACAACACATCTCCTGTTCAGGTGTCCCAGGTCAGCATCTGAGGAGAAGGGGCCTTAGGTCTGGACGTCTCCCGTTTCTCTGACTCTGGCAGGAAGGCTCAGGCACACGGCCCTAAAGGTTAACCTAAGTGGACTGAAACAGCTTCAAAATTAGGGCCCAACTGCCTACACCCAGGCCCCTCTCCTCAGAGCTTTTACTTTCAGGGGCAAGACATAAGTCTCACTTTGACTTTGACAAAGAATGGAACACTTTCCTGTGAGGCGGGTACTTGGCCCACCCATTTCTGCCCTTCCTCACAAACCCGGGGCGACACTGGCCGGAAGAGAGGCCCTGGGCACCGAGGCAGGAGACATCACTTTATCTCAGGGGTTTGCTTAGCTGTTGTTTTAGCAAGTCCTACCTCAATTTGAACATGATGCTCCATTTCTCCACTTACTAATACAACAGACACCAGGCTTTGCCCTCCCTACCTCAGAGAGTCAGGAAGAACAGAGAAATAGAAGAGGAAAGAGAGCTAATAGGGCAAAGCGGCTAGAGACTGTGAAACTCATCTCTTCGGGCATATAACTCAGCTACAGGGAGGGAATGAGAGAGTTAAAGGGTGACTCGGACACTTTGGGTTTTAGAAGACCTTCTCACAGCATTTCAATGTTAGAAATTAGAACAACCTCCAGAAATCTCCTGACAAATACTGAGCAGCCCAGTGCTCTTCCCAGTAGGCCAAGTTAGTTCCCGTAACATCCTCCCTGGGCTTACTTCAAGTTCTTGGCTCAGTGAAAATATTTTCAACCATGACCACGTCATGGAGAGGAGTTCTGCCCCCCAGGGCCCCTCGGAGAGGAGTGACAAGGCGCCAAAAGCAAACTGCTCCTGGGGTTGATTTCTGAGGGCGGGGCCATCAGCTGAACCAAGGGAGGCAACCTCCTTCTGGGTCAGTCTGTCTGGTTTTGTTTTGGGTGTAAGCCATGGGCCTGGAAGTCTGTTCTAACTGCCTGGTTACTGACAGGATGGCATGCTTTCCCACCATTCCTCCTTGCATAGCTCACAAGAAGCATTTGCAAAACAAAGTTATGGCCACTTCTTCTCTCATAAATGCTTAGCAGATCCCGAAATGCCCTGTGGTAATGTGGCTACTTAGCCAGGATGGGTAACACAACAGCTTTTCTACCAGTGAGAAAATTTATAAAATTTTTCTAAGAGCCTATGAGGGCGCAAAGGTCACGGTTGGGCTCTCCATCTGGCCTTTAGGTTTTCATGAAGGTCTTTCTCTAAACTCTGCAGCTCCGCTGGAGGGAGGCCATCCCCCAGGGGAAGGCCGCTACCACAGCACTGGAACTTGCCAGAGAAGCTGAGCTCGGTGGGGAGGGGGATGGAGCCTACGGTTGGAACTTGCGTCACCCTCAGGAGCAGCCCAGTGTGACCACCTTGCTGGTTTGCAAAGAACCTGTCAACAGGGAAACAATGGCAGATGGAAAAGAAGCCAGTGAGTCCCCTCCAGCCTTGAGTAGAGGCTACCAGCTCAGAATGGCACTGTCCCCCAGCATCGGAACCACAGCTCTTGGTCACCCTGAGACGGGGGAAGGTGGTGAACGTGAAAAGGTGTAAGAGAGATCAGAGGAAAGTGCTTCTTTGGAGAAGGAAGATTTTGCAAAAATTAATTTGCATTTCAGATTTTTTAACGTCAATCCTTTATACAGATAATTTCCTAAATTTTACTCAGCATCACCCGAGGCTTTTAGGTGTTGCTGGCCTTGTTTAACTAAGACCGTGCCCAGGGCAAATCAAGAGGTGGAGAGTTTTCTAAACATCTATGTCCAGTTTCCCCAGCACCATCCTCAGGAGCAAGGCATACAACTCAGCTGTCACTGAAAGTACGTCCCAGGAGAGGTTCCTCCAGGCATCCTCGGGCATCACGTAAATGAAAGGCTGAGGTGAGTGAACAGAAGTTCTCAAAATCATAACGTTTACACACGTTCTCTCCCAGGGGCTTTGGGCAGGCAGTGGGGACGTGGCCACCAGGTTCTAGTGAGGTGATACTGCGTCTCCAGGATGTGACGTAACCACTCTGAACTTTGCCTTAATTAAAAAGGGAAACACAATCTAAAAGTCTTGCCATTACACTAAGTGTAGTTTGGAAAATTAGCTCCATTACCTACTGTGTGAGGACAGGGGGAACTGTGCCCAGCTGCCCCCGGGGTTGCTGTAAGGATCATATGTAAGCGAAACTCCTTTCAAAACTGCAGAAAGCATTCACTTGGAAGGTACTGTTATTGCACTGTGAACGCCTCATAGGTTTATATATTGCTAATTAGCGTGCAAAGTAAAGTAAAAGTCTACATCATATCATTGATTTTCCATTGCACGCCGTAGTGCTAGCTACCGAATCTCCCACAATTGCTCGTTGAACTAATGATTCTTAGAGCTTCGGCTCTGAAAGCACTGTGCCTGTGATGGCTAATAGGCTGTTATCCACAACCACTCGGGAAACTTCCGCTTTCCGCCTTCCGTTATATATGACACCTTCCTCCTCGTAGCTTCCTATGGTGCCGACTAAGCACTCTTCCACCATTTCCACAGGCATGAGCCTTCTTCCCTCCTCCAGCTGAATCCTCAGGTTTAACCTCTCGCATTTCCTTTTCCAGAGGGGACAACCCCCTCATCATCCCTCTATGTGCAGTACCTGTTCCCTGCTCCGAGTGATCCTCTCAGACAGCAAGTCCGAGTTACTTCTTTCTTCTTCCAGCTCCAGCTCCAGTTGAGACACCTTGTCCTAAGAAAGAAGACACAAACACAGCCCGCTGACTTACCCTACCTGGGTCAGGAGCAAGGACAGCCCTGTGGAAGGAACCCCCCCCACCCACCCGGGGCACATCTGAGAGCTGAGCGTCCTTAGGGCTTGGGGAAAAAAGGGTCTATTTCTCATACTGGCCAAGCAGGGATTTTAAATCTGGGTTTTATTGGTTTCATATTGGAAAATGTAATTGTGCATTTAGAAAACACATTAAAGAGAAAAATGTCACCCAGACCCTGACATAAGCACTGAGGATATTTAAGTGCATCTCTTTCAAGTCTTTTTCCTCCTTATGGACCAATAACCGCTAAGATCTACCTTAAGGCATCTAAGTTACTGTGGGAAATGAGATATCATCCAAGGCAAATTCCTCTAAATACTCCACGCTCAAGACAATGTTTTGCCTTCCTCCTGCTCAGGGTTTCCAAGAGCCTTGCAGGAGTCCGTCTATAACAGCCTTTCTGCACCTGCCTCTTGCTTCCAAGGAACCTCACGTGGCGCTCTGCGGTCCCAAATTTGCATCAGAGTAACATAAAGACAGTATGGCCCATTCTGCCAAACGAACCGTCACAGAAGAAGGGTAATTTCTGCCTTCCTCGCTGGCTCCTAATGGAACATCATTGAGCATTAAGAGAAAAGAACTGCAAAGTATCTTTGTGTACAAAAAAGAAGGTTTTTAACATAAACCTCCTCACCTAGATTGGGGATGTGGGCTTTGTGCATGTGTTTCTACTACCACCAGCCAATTTGTCATATGTCTGGGTTAACTCAGAGCCACGCACACATACACACACAAAAAAGCAACCAGCATTGAGAGTTTTTAAACACGAGAGTCTGAGGCATCTGCACATAAATATTGTCTCTGCCATCATCTAAGTTGACTGGCAAGCTATGGGTGCCTCTCTAAGTGGCCAAAAAAAAAAAAAAGTCACAGAATCTGTGTGAATGACTAAATGTGTATGCATGCCTTCCCTGTTACTGACGGAAATCTGTAGGGATCCTGGACAGCTCTCTCCCACTAGCCAAGAGTCTCAAAGCCCAACTCAGGACCTACAGCTGAATCCTGCACCAAACCTTCTATTTGTTCAGTGGTGCCGACTCCTCCAAGGCCAGTTTCACTCAAGTTGGGAAACCAGACCCACAAGGGCCACATTTACATAAGACTACCTACCACCTGATTTCTGAGTTTACTGAAAATGCTCCTTGTTGAGAGAGCTCTTGAGTCCTGAGGATTAGCTGAAATGCTAGTGAAGGAAGAGGCAAGATATTATCACCACAAGACAGCATGCCAGCTGGCTCTTAGGGGAGGAAATACCCCTCCAGGGTGCCTCTCAGGATGTGCCCTTGAGAGCCATTCATTTTGTAATTAACAGAGAAATACCTAAAATATCACAGAGGGGCAAAGGAAGCTTAGCTATGCCACTGCTTGCAGACCTTGACTTAGCAAAAGTCAGTGCTCTTTTTTTTAAGTCAGAATATTCTAGAAGGGGTGACCTGACAACCCAATGTTTAGCTGAAAGCACCTCTTCTCAGGGCTCTCTTCCTGCCTAGCACTTGCTCTGTACAGAACCCAGCCGAGCACTCAGGGGGCCAGGCCCAGGGTCCTTACACCAAAGGCTCTTAGTCTACTGCCTGATGAGGCTTTAGCTTGCTTTCAACCAAATTGTTTGGGCCCTAGAATTACTACTTCCTGGTTAACGGGGATGCATGGAGCTTGCCTTAAAATGACATCCCCTAATGAAATCAGAACCAGGACATCAGCAAAACAGAGCAATCCTAGAAAACTAACCAGGTTCTCCCAGCCTCTAAAAAGGGCCCTTCTAATAAAACCTTTAATGGCTGAAACATCACCCCCTAGATATGAACTGCTACTAAGCCCCCTGGAGGTTTTAAAAGTTATTTCTATTTATTTGCAAAGTTGAATCAGGAATTCCATTGATTTTAAATTTAAGCTCTCTCGGTGGCCTTGAGCACTCTCTGCCCTTCATCAAAACCTTGACAATTTTATCTTCTCCCATAGATCTGAGGCGGATGTTTAAGTCTCTTTCTCCCTCTACAAATTTCACTGGGATATGGGATGTGGTATGGGGGGAGGGGGAATGGAGGGTTTTTCTAGTTTGGGGTTGATTTTATTCTTGAGGATTACTCTTTTCCATAAGTTCAGGTGGCCTGATATTAAGTTTCTTCCTGCCATTCTTGGTGGGCTGTTCGTATTTAGATTCTATTACTTGACTCACTTTCCTAATGTGTGGCATTTTCATCTTGTGAACAGATCCCCCCCAGCTGGTGACTCTGTTGAGCACTTTCTGATATACTGCCTTGGACTGTGTTTATACTGTGTATCCAAAAGTGGACTGAGCCAGTTTGCTGCTAGCTTTGGCCAAGCTGGGTCATCTGTAAGGGAAAATGGGCCCAAATCGGCAAACAAGAACGGAGCATGGGGTCGGGGTGTCCCTAGGATGTAGGCAGTTTGGCCTCATGGCACCGCTCGGCCCCTCCCCAGATCTGCAGCAGTCTCATCTCCTCTGTAGTCGACAGCACAGCCCAACGCAGCACACAGAAAACGAACTGTCTATGTGCCCTTGTGTGAAAGCACCTAGCCTCTTGGGGGTTCTGTTTTGCTTCCCCTCCAAGGCAATGAGGACACCAGGCTGTTACTTCCATCACTCCTTCCAGCTCTGATGCCCTATGAGTCTATGAACTATGCTTCGCCAGGTCAAGAAAAGACTTTCCTTCCCTGGCCGGTGGCTGTTGGTTGGAGCATCCTCCTGGTCACCAAAAAGGTTGTGGGTTCAATTCCCGGTCAGGGCACATACAAAAGATAAGAAACAGCCTTCCTAACATCTGGCTGGTTGAGAGAATAAAAAGCAGGCTGCTTCCCTCGAGTCCCCCTCCCGCTCTCCGCAGGTCCTGGCTGCCCAGGTGGCCCACAGACCTCCATCTGCTTGACAAGCCTGCCGCGGTCATCTTTGAGGTGACTCTTGGCCTCCAGCTCGTACTCCAGGTCCTTCAGCATCTGCTCCAGGAGCTGCTTCTTCGTGAGCGCCTCATCCTGAGCTCTCTGGTAGTCCCGCAACTCTTCCTCCATCAGGCGCATCTACAATGAGAAGGGGTTGCTCAGCTGGGGCACGTCAGGGGCACAGAGCCCTTGACAGTGTGCAAGCAGAGCCTGAGAAGGAGCAGGGGGACCCCACTACTGAGGTCAGCAGGCCTGAGTGAGTGCCACTGCCCTTGGGGCCTCAGTTTCCTCTTCTATAAAAAAAAAGGGGGGGGGGCTTTTCCAGCTACAGGTAGCAACACATTGGGTTATAAATTTAATATAGATGTTGACCAGAATTTTAAAAATAAATATAAAAGAACTAGAGGCCCAGTGCACGAATTCGTGCACGGGTAGGGTCTGGCTGGCCCGCCCCAATTGGGGCCTATTGGGCCAGGCTGGCTGTGGGGAGGGGACCCGGGAGGTTGGCTGGCCGGCCCCGCCCCCTGGTCGAACTCCCGGTCAAATTCCTGGTCAAGGGGACAATTTGCATATTAGCCTTTTATTATATAGAATACTCAGAGTAGAGTACAAGCAAATAATGTTTTGTAAAACTCTTGCACTAAATATTCACATATCTGTAGGGATGTATTACTGGTTGCAATGCAAGAGGTATTTTTCCCCTTTGGTCACGATCAGAAAGCCACTGTGCTCTTCTAGCGGATAAATGCTTGCCCACCGGGATCAGCATCATTTCAATAGAGGTTTAAAATTAGGGGGAAATGAAAACAAAAATAATGACCCTCCAAAGCAACCTGCATGCACAAAATCTAATAATATAAACATGCCAGTGAGGTGAAAATCATTGTTCTCTAGAAGAAAAATCAGTGGTCATAACTGACAGTGCTCTTTTCATCCACAAGGTGGCACTGAGCTAACAGCTTTCAAGGCTGCAACAGACAAGAGAGTTTGATTCACAGGGATGGGCCTGGTTTTCCACTTCTCTGGAATCTCCCGGGAGGGACCAGCCACCTCCGCACACACGAGGCATTACTGAAACATCTGTGTGGACCGATTTGGTGAAGCCCGAGGCTGTTTTGTTCTCAACTTCCTACCCTTCTGGAGAAGGTTGAAAGCACAGTCTTAGGAAGACTACACCATGGGGTTACTTCCTTCAGGGAGTACATGAGGGTAAGTGACAAACTCCATGAAACAATCCTATTGCTTGGGGGAGATTTTCACAGGAAAGTTGGGAAAGCCCCAACGATGGTCTTGGGAGGGTCAGGGGACCCAATAGGTTAGACTCGTTTAGGAAGACCAGCGGGAAAACTTTCAGATACGTGTTCCTCTCTTGGTGGCTGATGGGATCACCTGGCATTTCCATGAAAACCTCCCCTGGTGAAAACCCTAGTCTGGTTTTGGTGGAAACTGAGTGAAAAGACGACTGTGAAATGAAACTGTGAGTGAAAGCACAAGGGAACACCGTCCCATGGGTCAGGGTTAGGGTTAGAGTTAGGGTCAGGATTAGGCTACAGACGGTGCACTATACTCCAGAACATTCGAAATCTCTCCAAAAAAAAGTCTTAAAAATATAATCTCTCCGTGCCTCAGTGTCTTAATAATTTGCAACACTGAAATAATTTTAAAACCAACCTAGAGCTGTTATGAGAATCAAATCAAATAATCCCAGAAAAAAACACAGGTTTGAGAGTCAGAAAGACTGACAGGCTGCGTTTCCTGGCTGCTATCTTTCGAGATGCCACCGCCCAGTACATCCCTCCACCCGACCAGGATGTGCTGGGACATCTCGAGGGCTCTGGCCTACTGAGAGCACTTAATCAGCACATGCACGAGAGCGTAAGTGTATAGCATCTGGAATCACAAGTAAGCAAATAACTGTTGAACCTACTCCTGCTTTCTTCACAGAGTTAAAACTGCCCTTTGTTGAGTGAGATTTAGAAGATATACTGAACATTCTGTCTTAATTCTCTAAAGATTACCTGCATCAGAACTTCCCTAGCTCCACACTGAAGGCAAAATCGGCAAAATATCTATTTCCCTCAAAACAAAGGAGGCGAGTATGACTGCATCTGGGGTGGCCCCTGCGGTTTTTGTTTTTGTTTTTTAACTTAGGATTGGGGGCAGGGGGGGGGGGGGTGCGCGGAGGCGGTAGTGAACAGAGTTGAGTTTGAGTT